TTAAACATTTATTTTACAAGTTATTAAAAGGTACATTTAATTGAACATTTTAATTCAATTTTACTTGGCAATCTATGTTAACATTTAATTAAACATTTATTATAAAAATCATTAAAATTAAAATAAATATAATCTTATTTAATTAAATCACAGTAGTAAAATTAATTAATCAATATCAGTTGCAAAAAGAAATAAACTATATTCTTTTAATTAAATTCTTTAATATCAATCACTCACAATTTTTAGGAATGAAAATATAATTTTTCAATCAACTCAAAATATTAAATTCATAATTACTAATTTATTGTCAGCTATCACAATTTTATAATAACTTAAAAGTTTAAATTATATAATGAATGCTTTGTGGAAAAAATGATGCAGTGAGAACAGGTGCTATTATGTTTTTTTCAAGGATCATTACATTCAGACTCAGACTCACTAAAATACAAGTTTTATTAATTTTAAAATGATATTATTTTTTATTAAAGTGATTCCATCGCTTTCTTTTATATACGGAGTCCATCATGTTTAAGTTAAATTATAATGAGTTATTTAAAAAAAAAAATCAAATGAAACTGCAAACAAAATAAATATTAACAAATATGATAATTTTTTAGCACACTACGTTAAGAAAATAATAATAATAATAAAATAATTTTTATTGAATACGAGAAAAGTCATTATCATTACCTTTTAAATATTTTTTTAAGAAAAAGTAAATTGTTTATTCATTTAATGAGAGTAATTCAAATATCTTCTAGCGACTGCTTTGAACAATCTAAGTATGACCAAAGAACTTTCCATTTCAACAATATTCCATTCATTTCCGCTGAAAGATAGAATAGCGGTCTAATTAGGAAACTTAAAGAGAATTTTTTGTACTCTTCTTTGTTGACTTAATGCACACTCTTTCCAACTCCAATTCATTCAAAATTCTAAGTAAAGTTTCATTCTGTGAAGAGTAAAACTTAACTAACGTAGTAACTTTTGACTAACAACAGAAATATGTTGTCGGCATGAGTTGGTGTCTATAAAAAGGTGAATCGCCAGGTGAACTGAAACCTGCGTTGCAGAAATCAATATTACTATAACTGTTGTGTGTCAGGTTTTTGAACTGCCATGGCTGAAATNTTTTTTTCATAGTGGATGGAAAGCAGAGGGCAGAAATGCGTTCCAGTTTTGTATAAAATACTTTTTTTTCCCGGCACAATGATGAAGAGAATGAACCCTTTGTGATCTTTCTCATTTCTTAATGAAAAAAATGTCAGACAAAGGAAGAAAGCTACGAACTAAAAAGGAAAAGCGATGTCTTTAAACATAACATCCAGAGTTTCAGTACAGATAAAAATGTTATTTGCGAAAACCGAGGTGTCATGTAACGTTGATTAAAAAAAGGGTTTTTATTGAAAGTATACCAACCTCATAAAATGTTATTCACTTGATTCGACTTTCGTGAATAGAGTGAACATAATCACAATTTTTTTTTTATATTTTTAAAAATATTTTAAATTATTCTATTCTATTCACTTGAAATACTTTCCAAAATTTTTCAAATTTAAATTTTTTTTAATTTTTTGATTCAAACAAGTCATTTTTGTGGAAAAAATTTTAGACTAGAATTTTGTTTTGGAATATCTAATCCAAAAAATTTTTAAAAAAATGCAGGGTTTTTATTATATTTTTTATGAGAATAGCTTGAAACTTACATGTTTTAGGGAGTGCAGAAAGAAAAAATGAGGTGCAAAAAAAGGTAGCATGAAAGTCAAAGAAGGATGGGTGTTGCTCCCTCCACCACCACCACTTCTCCCTCCACCTCCCAACCTTGTGCAAAATCTTTTTAATTACAAAAATAACCTTTTTTATTTTTAATCTATTTATTTATTTTAAACTCAGATCCTATCTATCTATCCATTCTCACTTTCCCACCTCCCAACTCTCCTTCTCTCTCTCTCTTTTTAGACACCACATCCGTTCTTCTCATCTCTCATCTCTTATTTCTCTCTTCCATATCCGTTGGGCCAAAAAACTATATCAAGTGGCTCACAAAAAATACATAAAAAGGCTTATATTGATTTTCCAATTATTCTTTGCAATGTTTTGCTCAAAGATGTTACTCCAGTAGAATAAAATTATTCAGCAGCACAATGCAGACAAATGGCCAATACATATACAGCTATTGTTTGAGAACTTTCAATCATTTTTTTCACTACCATAACATAAAAACCTAATTGCAAGGACATGAGTATAGATATATGACATTTTAAAAAAAAAGTTAATAAAACAACATCAGAAATTATGAAGGGCAAGGAATGCTAAGTGTTTTCATGTTTGCATTCAGAGAGCAAACAACACAAAGCATAGTCAGAAAGACTGCAAAAACACATTTGCACATTATTATAATGTGTCATGTCTTGGCAAACAGGAAAGTGACTCCCAAGAGAGAAATAAGAGATAGGAGATGAGAAGAACGAATGTGGTGGAGTTGGGAGGAATTTGAAAAGAGAGAAGGAGAGTTGGAAGGTGTGGTTGAGTGAAAAGTGAGAATGGATAGATACATAGGGTTTGAATTTAAAGTAAATAAATACGATTAAAAGTAAAAAAGGTTATTTTTGTAATTAAAATATTTTGCATTAAGGTTGAGGAAGTGGAGAGAGAAGTGATGGTGGTAGAGGAAACAACACCCAAGAAGAATTAGTGGAAGGAAAAATATGTGCCAAAGTCCATTTTATTTTATTGGTCATATTAACTTGATGAAATAAATTAAAACTTATTTAATTATCGTAATATTTCATTTTAATGTTTAAATTTAGTTGTCGTGAACACAACAAATTTGTTCTTTTATTTTTCTTTGGAATGTCATCTTTGTTTACAACAGTTTTAATTAGATTCATGATGACGTGGAACATGTAAAAGGCTACCTACTAAAGACATGTGTTCAACTTTAACATCACTCATAAAATTACAAAAAATAAATAAATTAAGTAACTCATAAAGCAATATTAGATTTAGTGTCCAAGTTATGAATATTTCTTAATACAGTCTAGCTTTTAAACATGAACATTAAATTTGAATTTATTATTTCATGTTGAATGAAATTTTTCTCTTAATTAGTTTATATATTAATATTTATTTTGAATTAATGAATAATATATATTACATAGATGTAAATATTACTTTTAAAATAACCCATTTCGATATTATATTATGTGATTTTTAAAATTTTTTATTTAATATCTAAATAAATAATTAGTATCATATAATATTAAAAATAAAGTTGAGAGTGTTTTATTTTTTAAAGAATAAAAATATTTTTGATAGAAAAAAATAAAAGCCTATCAATTAAAAACATCTTTAGTCATATATTATTAAAATAATACATTTTTCATTAAATGAGTTAGCGTAAAGACATCAAATTTGAATTTAAATTTCACGATTGACCATACTTGCTTCTGATCACTACTTGTGGTCGTAATATTTAAAAATAATTATTTTAATTTGATTTATATCTTTTTCATCAAAATAAAGAATAAATTTGACTATTCTTTCATGTATTAAATGGTACGTTTGGTCAAAGTTTTATAAATATTTCAAAGAATAAAAAAATACTTTTTAGAAATTAAAAGTAACTTGTGTATAAATCAATTTATAAAAAAGTTGTAATTTTTTTAACTTTTAAGCTTTGTAAACAACATTTTTTTTTCCAAAATTATATTAGCAAACCACTAGTCTTAACAACCGTGAAAAAATGGGAGCTCCATTCCACCAATTTTACATATAAGAAAACATATAAATGTTAATGAAATTTATTCTTCATTAAATGCGTAATGAAAAAAAGGTGAAATTTGATTTATACAGAATCCTAAAATATAACTTTGTGCATGTCTTTTTTAGAATAAATATTTATTATTATTATATTAGGGTTTAGAATAGGAAATTATTATTTTTCTCAGATTAAGAAATAAAATAGTTTCTTAATTTAAAAATTCTATAAGGTTTTTTAATTAGAATTAAAATTTTACTTGGTAATCTATGTTAACATTTAATTAAACATTTATTTTACAAGTTATTAAAAGGTACATTTAATTTAACATTTTAATTCAATTTTACTTGGCAATCTATGTTAACATTTAATTAAACATTTATTATAAAAATCATTAAAATTAAAATAAATATAATCTTATTTAATTAAATTACAGTAGTAAAATTAATTAATCAATATCAGTTGCAAAAAGAAATAAACTATATTCTTTTAATTAAATTCTTTAATATCAATCACTCACAATTTTTAGGAATGAAAATATAATTTTTCAATCAACTCAAAATATTAAATTCATAATTACTAATTTATTGTCAGCTATCACAATTTTATAATAACTTAAAAGTTTAAATTATATAATGAATGCTTTGTGGAAAAAATGATGCAGTGAGAACAGGTGCTATTATGTTTTTTTCAAGGATCATTACATTCAGACTCAGACTCACTAAAATACAAGTTTTATTAATTTTAAAATGATATTATTTTTTATTAAAGTGATTCCATCGCTTTCTTTTATATACGGAGTCCATCATGTTTAAGTTAAATTATAATGAGTTATTTAAAAAAAAAAATCAAATGAAACTGCAAACAAAATAAATATTAACAAATATGATAATTTTTTAGCACACTACGTTAAGAAAATAATAATAATAATAAAATAATTTTTATTGAATACGAGAAAAGTCATTATCATTACCTTTTAAATATTTTTTTAAGAAAAAGTAAATTGTTTATTCATTTAATGAGAGTAATTCAAATATCTTCTAGCGACTGCTTTGAACAATCTAAGTATGACCAAAGAACTTTCCATTTCAACAATATTCCATTCATTTCCGCTGAAAGATAGAATAGCGGTCTAATTAGGAAACTTAAAGAGAATTTTTTGTACTCTTCTTTGTTGACTTAATGCACACTCTTTCCAACTCCAATTCATTCAAAATTCTAAGTAAAGTTTCATTCTGTGAAGAGTAAAACTTAACTAACGTAGTAACTTTTGACTAACAACAGAAATATGTTGTCGGCATGAGTTGGTGTCTATAAAAAGGTGAATCGCCAGGTGAACTGAAACCTGCGTTGCAGAAATCAATATTACTATAACTGTTGTGTGTCAGGTTTTTGAACTGCCATGGCTGAAATGTTAGAATCAAGTAGAAAAGCTGTGAATGGGAGAGAGGGGTATCTTAAAAGGGAAGAAGAAGAAGAAGATGAGTTGGCTTTTTGCATGGAAAAGACGGTTGCTTTTGTGGTTCCAATGGCTTTGAAAACATTGTCTGAGCTGAGGGTGTTTGATATCTTAGCCAAAGGTGGCAAACTCTGTGCGAATGAGATCGCAGTTGAGATAGGAAGCAAGAACCCTGAAGCTCCTGCAATGTTGGATCGTCTTCTTAGCCTTTTGGTGAGTCACTCTCTGCTATCTTGTTCTATCTCTCAACAAGAACAACACCCTCAGAAGTTCTACACCCTCTCTCCTGCTTCCAAATATTTTGTCACTGATCCTCAAGGTGCATCATTGGGATCCTCCGTCAAATTACTTCTGGACGACATCTTCTTGAAAAGCTGGTAACTTTTTCTTACCCTTATTCATGGAACATAAATCTTTCCTTAATTTTCAGTTGTTTTTGGTTTTCTTTTGAGGCAACAAATTATTGAGTTGTGGGGTGTTGACTCAGGGGCGAACTGAAAGGAGCAATCCTAGAAGGGGGTGTGGCATTCGACAGGGCCCATGGCATGCATGCCTTCGAATATCCACGTGTGGATCCCAGGTTTAACGAGGTTTTCAACAACGGTATGATAGGCCTCACCACTATAATTATGAAGAGGATTCTTGAGTTATACAACGGTTTTGAGCATGTCACCAGGCTCGTCGACGTTGGTGGAGGTTATGGAGTCAACCTCAAATTGATCAAATCCAAATACCCTCACATTCAGGCTATTAATTTTGACTTGCCTCATGTGGTGGAAAATGCCCCTCTCCATTCAGGTATGATCTCTAATTCTTCATCTACGATGAACTCTGACATACAAGTAATAAACTCACGGTGGTTCTAATCTGCAGGTGTGGAGCATGTGGGAGGAGACATGTTTGAAAGCGTTCCTTCAGGAGATGCCATTTTTATGAAGGTAATTAATATTGTCAAGCAACGATTTTTGATGTGTTTATGACACGATTGATTGACATGATAACTTGGTGTGGATAAAAAATTTCAGTGGGTACTTCATGATTGGAGTGATGAACATTGCGTGAAGCTGTTGAAGAATTGCTACAAAGGGATTCCTGATGATGGAAAGGTTATTGTGGTGGACTCAATTGTGTCGATGGTGCCGGAGACAAGTGTTACTGCTAAGGGTGCTTTGGGATCTGATCTCATAATGATGACTCAAAACCCAGGAGGGAAAGAGCGAACACGTCAACAAATCATAGAATTGGCAGAAGCATCTGGGTTTAGTGGGATCAGATTCATATGCTCTGTATGTGGCAACTGGGTTATGGAATTCTACAAGTAATGAATATTATTATGCAGAATGTGAAATTCTACCATAGAATGGGAAACTAGTGCTTATGAGATGATCTCCATGAATAATATATTATCATAAAGAAGGTCTTCGTTATTCTTTTTAATAAAGACGACATGTTGCAGCTTCTATTTGATACAAAGTAGCGGCACCATACGCTATTTGAATTTGAAAAATATTTTTTTAACAATTTTTTTTTATAAGTGATTCATCGTTTTAAATATACAAACTAATGAAACAGTCACACATAATTTATTGTGAAAAATTTATTAATATATCATAATCTATTTGAATTGATGTTCAAATTACAAACTTACATGCTCACGTAGAGAGAGAATTTTATTAAGGGTAATAAGGGAAGAGGAAAATTGAAAAGATCATGTGGAATAGAAGAAAGTTGAAAGGGTTACGTAGTATAGAAATCTATTGAATAATGACACATGCAATGAGGTCGAAGCATTAAACTCTTATCAACTTTTCCATCTTTTCCTTCAAAGCGAAGATGGGAAAGACTTGATTGAAGAAGACTCACATTATTAGTATTACACGAACAGTGGAAAAGATAGAAGACGAAGTTATTGAAATTTTATTTCATCTTCGATTGAAATTTTATTTCGTCTTCAATGTTTCCCTATCCTTCAATCTAATTGCAAATCATGAATCCATCAAACTCAATCTTAAATAGCTTTTAATGTGTTTTAAATAACTTCGTAAGACTCACAACATAATGAAAGAATGTCTATAAGTACTTTTATGTTTTAAGAATTTAATGTCTAATATCATGGTTTAATAATATTGGTGTATGTAGAAAGTGATGATATTTAATATCTTTAAAATTAAATAATGTTTTTAATCCAAAAGTATTACACTTCTTATATCACTAGAACTAAAATCTAATATTTTTTTGGTTTTAGTTTTGAATATAACCAAAACTTAAGTGTATTTTTTTAATAATTTTTTTGTTTTTACTTTTTCTTACCTATTAAATTAGCACAAAATATCACAAAACTAATGTAGAACAGTATATCATATTTATCACATCTAAAATTATCAAAAATATTTTTCTACAATAACATATTATCCTTACAACAAATAAATGTGTTAAATACTGCTATATATTTATATTACATATTTTACACTAAATGCACATAACTAATAATGCATATAAGTAATTGCAATCACAATACCACGTGTGATTTGATTTGAATGTAACATTCAAATATCGTGTCAAAATATTATTTTCCTGTGATATATTATTAGTGTTTCCTCTTATTAAAACTCATAAAAAAATTGCAATGCAGGTAAAAGATACAAAGGCAACCCACTTCTAAATATTTTAAGCTTATCTATTTCTTAAAAACTTGGAATAATTCAACCCTAAAACATGGGACATAGATATAACAAAAAAGCACTTAAAATATGTCAGTGTTTTTTTTTTTTGTTTAGTTATGAGTACTATTAATATTATTTCATTTTACTTAACTTTCACATAAGTTTGAGAACTCCTTTCATGAAAATGGTTTTATAGAAAGATCTATTTCTAACAGTAATAATACCATATTATTTATGGATTTTGGAAAGCATTATTATTATTATTTTCCCATAAGTTGCTTGGAAAATTTTTTCCCTCTTCCAATCTTTAAATTAAATAAGGTGTGGTCAAGTTATGTTTTTAATTAGGTCAACTTATAGATATAAAAGGATTTATAAATTTGAACGTGTAGAAGTTAAAAAAGGGCTTACTTTATGTGTTAGCTTAAAACGTTGTCAAAATTAGCTAGTGATATTAAAAATTTTGTAACATAAATTTAATTGTATATTTTTTATTTAGTAAGTTATATGATGTGACATATAGAATACTAACCTATTTCTAATTGTTCCCTTGTCTTATGCTCCATTTGCTTGAAGTGACTTAAGATTAATAGTGTTGATGCTCTCTTTTACAAGTTATTTTAGCAAGTATGCTAAACATAGAAAATGAAATGGAAAAAATGATAAGGTGTCCTTAAAATTCATGCACATTAACTGAACTAAAATGTTTATCATGTTGAAGTAGATTTGATATATTAAAAATATTACATTTATTTTGAGGCTAGATTACATTACATGGGATGAAGTATGGTCAGAAGCTTATTGGGACAAATTGCATCTTCAACAAAATGCTGCAAGACAGATCTCTATTGCATCTAAGCACCAATTCCTCACTGCTTTAGCTGCTCCCAAGTATTTCATTATATGTTTCTTTTACCTTTCTTAGAAAAGCTTCCCTGTAACACCAACCAGATTATGGAAATAAAACATTCATCATCCAGTTAATTCATGCAACAAAATCATACTATATTATCAACAGAATCTGGCTCTACCTGTCTGGCTTGAAAGCTAAGTTCTTGTAAGCAAACCACTGCAAAGAAAGACAAATTGAAGATGAACTACTATTGATGATCATTTTCAATTGAAAACAGTTCAATGAACTTACCCCAGTGTAGCCAATGCCTACAACCTCAAGAACCCCAGGAATTAAAGGAAGCCTATCAATTGCCTGTTTTACAAGTGATAATCATTGCTTATGTTACCACAGCTTGATAATTTACATCAGAAACAACTTGATAATGCATTCGATGGCAACACAGTACAAAATTCAGTATTAAAAAGTAACCTACTGAGATCATTCCAGCTGAGCCCCACAATGCAACCACACCAGCTACGGCCAGTGAACTCACTGCATATTTATCTTCGACTTTCTCCCACTACGTAGCCAACATTAATCAGTAAAGTCAGAAACACAATACCAACTTCACATGCATCACCCTTTTATAATTAGCACAAGTACGTTACTTGATCAGATAATTTGAGATCCTTACAGCTTCTTGAATAGTCTTCACAATCTCTGGCGTCTCAGCAATAGCAAGCTCAGTCGTGGCAACTTCTGCTGCCGGTGCCTCTCTTGTGGTAGCCATTCCCATAACATTTCGAGCAATCCTGCGACCTGAAAGAATCAACCTTGAAAAGTTGACAACAGTGAAGAAGAAAAGCTAGAACTACCCATGATTTGGGCATGACAAAAGTGGTAGAGAGAAGCAGAAAGTTATAATCTTCACGACTCAGACCGACGTTATAAGAGAAATTGATTAAGTTGTTTATGAAATCTGAGGAAGGTTTTGAGGTAATCGACTTACAGAAAGCAGCAGTTTTCCCAGGACGAGTCTGAGACTGAACAGGCGGTGGAGGAAGAGTGGGAAGGGTGACACATTGTGGGGAAGAAGATGGCGATTGCCTTGGAGCCTTGGCGTCAACAAGGGTGGAGGAAGAGGATAAAGAGAGGGTGGAGGAGGAGGTTGAAGCCATTGCAAGTAGTGGTATGATGGATTCTGAGGACAACAGGGAAAGAATATAGATTATGTTGTTGAGATATTTATTTGGTGTGTTTGTAATTTTGTTGGCATAGATATGAATGTGGAAGTGCTTCTGCCACAGTTTGAAGTGCTGAACCACTCTTTTGTTCTGATTATGGATAGTGTGATGACATGGCTTGAAGGTTGTAGGATAGGGCTTTTATGGTTTTTCCTTGGATAGGAGGTTCCTGGTTGCCTGCCCTTTTCCAAATCAAACTCTTTTTTTAGGATCATGCAAAAATATCTTGCATCTAAAATGTCTGCACAAGATATCTCATTCATGTCAATCTGTTATGTTATGGTGAAATAAAGAACAACCTGACATAATTGGTAGGATAAAAGGAAAGAAATGGATAATGGCCCATGGATTCCACTGGAGTATATATGCACTCCTAGTTTTTCTTTCTGTACTCCCAAAATTTTTTAAATACTTTAAATGACTTCTTTTGACTTTTACTAAAAACATAATTCTTCTCTTTCTCTTCTTATTTATTTTCTCAACAACCCTCACCCCTCACATTTATCCTAGTGTCTCTCCCCAACTTACAACCTTCTTTCTTCGAATTTCTACAAGCACAATCTTTCCTTTCTACATTTTCTCTACGCATACTCTTCTTTGCACAACACTCCTCTAATGGCAAGTTTTATTTATTTTTACTTTTGTATTGCTTATTTATTTGGAAATAACTTGAGGGTGAATGGAATTTGAAATTCTAGAGTTTAGATGGTTAATTTTGGTAAATAGTTAATTTTGGTAAATAGGTGAAACGGATTTAGAAATCCGTAGTAAATGAGATCTATTAAGAAAAGCACTGAATTTTAAGGGTAAATACCATATTTCAAAACTAGATTTTAGAAAACTTTTGGAAACGACACAATAAATGATAACATTTATGAAATACAATACTAATCGCATTTATCAAAGCTAGGTATATGCTACTAACAATGACTTTAGGACCATTCTTAGATGTAAGAACTAATCCTCTTAGTCTTTCAAGAGCTCACTTCCCTTAATAAAATTACAAAGATAACTGAGAAAGTTACCCATATTAATGTCACACCAACAAGCTCAAGTAATGACGACTATATTTGTTGGTTTTGTATGTGTTATCAATCAAGATTGCAATGTTAAATGCATTCAAGAATTTTACTGCATTTTAGGATGTGTCCTTTTCCCATAAGTTGCTTGGAAAATTTTTTCCCTCTTCCAATCTTTAAATTAAATAAGGTGTGGTCAAGTTATGTTTTTAATTAGGTCAACTTATAGATATAAAAGGATTTATAAATTTGAACGTGTAGAAGTTAAAAAAGGGCTTACTTTATGTGTTAGCTTAAAACGTTGTCAAAATTAGCTAGTGATATTAAAAATTTTGTAACATAAATTTAATTGTATATTTTTTATTTAGTAAGTTATATGATGTGACATATAGAATACTAACCTATTTCTAATTGTTCCCTTGTCTTATGCTCCATTTGCTTGAAGTGACTTAAGATTAATAGTGTTGATGCTCTCTTTTACAAGTTATTTTAGCAAGTATGCTAAACATAGAAAATGAAATGGAAAAAATGATAAGGTGTCCTTAAAATTCATGCACATTA